AATTTCAACCGAGAAGATGGATTCTGGCTTAGTAACCATTGGAAAGATGTTAGAAACCATTTCAGTTCTGAATAAATTGTATTTTACGGTGACCTTCAGACCGCAGTCCATTCGCTGGCACTGCCTCTTAATACCTCTCACACCACGGTTAATGACATGGTTTATAACATGTGGTATAATAATAATAATAAATAGTATAACATTGCAATGTTTAACATAATTCATAAGGCAATATATAGTATCGTAATTGCATAGTGAATATACAGCAGTGTGGTATATAGTTGGGTTCATAGAATAAGACAGTGTAATGTTACAAGTTTAATATTTTATTGTCTAAAGTATAGGGTAGTGTAAAGTAACGCATTGTATAATTCAAAGGTGGAATTTGTCTATGGATATGATATTATACCATGTGGAAGGTATAATACTGTATTGTATAGTAGTCCAGTTTATAACACAGTTATAATGCAACACAGAACAGAGCAGCGCACCTTAGTTGCTCTGCTCTGGTATTTTCTTGTGCCCAGCCCCCACCCTCCTCCGCTCCGGAGGTGGGGCTGGGTAACATGCTAATTCATATGTTAACTCCGCCCACACACCTTTAAAAGACGCGGTCCTTGCTTGGCAGCGTTCACTCAAGCGCCATGAACATAAAGCAGACTCAAACACCGTAGGACTAACTCCTCAGCCGTGGCAAATCACTGTTATAATTCAGTGGGCTCACATGACATTGACTTCTCCAAGACGGAGGTTCTCTGCAAGCCATCCGGCTACAATGAGAGATTCGTTCATAAGGCCATCCACATATAAAAACACAGAGACAATTTGAACCGAGAAGATGGATTCTGGCTTAGTAACCATTGGAAAGATGTTACAAACCTTCTTTGGTTCTTTCGGTAAAGTCACGTAGAATGAGAATAAAATAATAAATTGATAAAATAAAATAACACAATAATATTCTCACGACGTTTCGGCCACAACACAAGCGGCCTTCATCAGGTGAAGGGACGAGACTGTCTGGTAGCACAGAAACCATTTCAGTTCTTAATTAATTGTATTTTACGGTGACCTTCAGACCGCAGTCCATTCGCTGGCACTGCCTCTTAATACCTCTCACACCACGGTTAATGACATGGTTTATAACATGTGGTATAATAATAAATAGTATAACATTGCAATGTTTAACATAATTCATAAGGCAATATATAGTATCGTAATTGCATAGTGAATATACAGCAGTGTGGTATATAGTTGGGTTCATAGAATAAGACAGTGTAATGTTACAAGTCTAATATTTTATAGTCTAAAGTATAGGGTAGTGTAAAGTAACGCATTGTATAATTCAAAGGTGAAATTTGTCTATGGATATGATATTATACCATGTGGTTTAGATTGGAATGTATAATACTGTATTGTATAGTAGTCCAGTTTATAACACAGTTATAATGCAACACAGGACAGAGCAGCGCACCTTAGTTGCTCTGCTCTGGTATTTTCTTGTGCCCAGCCCCCACCCTCCTCCGCTCCGGAGGTGGGGCTGCGTAACATGCTAATTCATATGTTAACTCCGCCCACACACCTTTAAAAGACGCGGTCCTTGCTTGGCAGCGTTCACTCAAGCGCTGTCTTCTGGACAGACCTGTTTCTTCATCTGAAGAAGGCTACTTGTGCTGTGGCCGAAACGTCGTGATAATTTTTATTTTATTTTGTTTTATTTTCATTATTTTATTTCCATTCTACGTGACTTTACCGAAAGAACCAAGAAGATGAATCCCTGCAGTCACGAAAGCTTTAAATCGAAAAAAACATACTATGATAATATATGCATTGTTCTTGAAACTGATTGGTCCACACCAAGGGACGGCTCTTCGTTTTTTTTTTTCGGTAAAGTCACGTAGAAATAATAAAAAATAAAATTATATAATAGCATACGACGTTTCGATTGCAACATAAGCAATCATCATCAGGTACAGAAGAGCTAAATTTAAGAGAGAGAGGAAACACATAACCGCAGATATATATACAGACCTTAAGTAGAGGGAATTAACACAGACACACCAGGGGACACAGAGAGAGACGGAGCACACTAAATCAAACAGGGTTTTAGCAAACTTTGGAAACTATATAAAGTAACACAGACGGTCGGTTAAAACACAATTAACGCATGGTCTGGTAGACTACGCTATTTCAAAGATTGCTAAATTGTAAGTTAAGTGTGAAATTTAAGAGAGTGATAGAGCACAGACCGTAAAGAGACATATGGGGAGAGACAGGCACACAGCAAAGAAGTAAAGCCGCATCTCTGTGACGACGCATTAAATAGACAGAGACGGTGGGGCTGGGGCTCAGAGACAATGAGCCTCGACCCAATTGGTGCTCGACCAGATGACGCCAAAAGGTGCTCTGGTCGAGCACCAATTGGGTCGAGGCTCAAAAGAAAGCCGTCCCTTGGTGTGGATCAATCAGTTTCAAGGACAATGCATATATTATCATAGTATGTTTTTGTTTGCATTTTGATTGCAGGTATTGTGGTTAATAAAGTATTGAAGCTTTCGTGACTGCATAAAATTACTCATTGTTTTTTTTTCCGGTAAAGTCACGTATGTAGAAATATAATAAAATTATATTAAAACAAAACAATCACGACGTTTCGACCACAACACAAGCGATCTTCATCAGGTGTCAGGAACAAATCATGGAAAGAACAAATCAGGGAGGTAAATACCAGCATAGACAGAGTGAAAATACGAGGTACATGGTCAGTAGGAAAGACGGACGAAGAGGCAAGGAGAGAGAGAGAGGGATGAACAGCAGCTTAAATAGGAAATAAGGTTGGGGGGGGGGGGGCAGAAAGAGAGTGGCAGCTCATCTTGCGCCAGCTCAAAAACAGCACATCTTGCATATACACAGATCTTGCATATACACAGATGTGCTGTTTTTGAGCTGGCGCAAGATGAGCTGCCACTCTCTTTCTGCCCCCCCCCAACCTTATTTACTATTTAAGCTGCTGTTCATCCCTCTCTCTCTCTCCTTGCCTTTTCGTCCGTCTTTCCTACTGACCATGTACCTCGTATTGTCACTGTCTATGCTGGTATTTACCTCCATGATTTGTTCTTGATACCTGATGAAGATCGCTTGTGTGTGATCGAAACGTCGTGATTGTTTTGTTTTAATATAATTTTCTTGTATTTCTACATACGTGACTTTACCGAAAAAAACAATGAGTAATTGTGGTTAATGCAGACATGAATCCTTGTAAAAAGGTTTCAGTTTTGTTTCCAGAAAAAAGGGGAAAACCCCTATTATTACATCTTGGTCCTTGTGGGATATTTTTATTTTTCAGATTTAGCCACTGGGTGGCACCAGATATGCGTGTCCGTGTGACCCCCCCCCCAAATGGAACATCTTCGCCGGTTAGAAACATTTAGGCTGGCCTGCCTACGATCCATCCTGGGTTTAAACAGGCTGGATTGTGTGAGGAGCTTACAAATCCTTGAAAGATCTGGACAAAGTCCCATCGGTGAGCTTCTCCGGCAGGCAAGGCTGCGTTGGCTGTGTCATGTAGCCCGCATGCCCAGCCACCGCATGCCGAAACAGCTTTTGTTCGGCCGGATCGAGGGGGCTAAACGGGCGCGGCACGGGCTAGAGAAGAGATGGAGTGATGTGGTACAGGAGGACGTGGAGCTGAGTGGACTTGCCGATGACTGGTACCAGCAGTGTCAAGATCGGCCTCTGTGGAGGAGGCTCGTGAAGGACGCTGCTTGGCAGTTGGAGGTAGTCGCCCTCCAACAACAACGGAGGGCGGAGGAGCGACGCTCACAACAACGAGCGGAGCGCCGGATGGCTAAAGCACAGCAAGTTGGCACAGTAGGGGGCACAGGTGGTGCATCAGCCAGTCATCTCAGTCAGTCGACCCGTGGCACCTGGGTCTGCCCCGTGACCTTTTTTTTTGTTTGGCCATGTTTGTTTGTTGTAATACGGAGTTAGACTGATGGCTTTAATCTAAGTTGTCTTGTGGTTGTTGTTGTTTGACTTGCATACCACTGGGATTTTTGCACACAGCGTTGGTGTACGGTGTTTTTTTTCTGGGAGATTTAGCTATTTTTTCCTGGATTTTTCTGTTTGCGCATAGTCACTTTAAGATGTTTTCTTGTTCATGTTTTTGTTTGTTACGGTTGCACCCGATTCAAGAGGCGGATGGCTCACAGGGCTATACCAAATAAATGAAATGAAATGAAAACTTCACGTGGCCTCAACGTACATAGCCTTGCACAAGCGACGTGGTCACGTGGTGATCGTCACCATGGTGGTGATGGGCATGATGGTGTTGATGATGAATCGGCATGTCATTAAATTGAAGACGATAGTGGCCATGGAGGTGATGGTCATGTTTGCAAACTTTACCATGGCGGTAATGGACAGTGGTGGTTATGATAGAGGCCATGGTATTGATAGTGGTAATAGTCACCATAGTAAATATGGTAATGGTGGTAAAGATGATGGTCATTGGAAGTTTGCCAAGGATCCTTTTTGGAAGTTTTAGAAGTTCGCCTTCCAGAGGCGATGACATAGACCTCAGCACCGTGTTCAATTATGAAAATGACATCGAGAGGTGAAGTATCTCTTAAGCAGTTAAACACAAGCACACATAATAAAACGCTACTTATCATAAGCCATGATCAATCCACTGCTGGATGAAAGACTCATGTCCATGTTTTTTCTTATGCAGCAGGCGCGCCTATCCGTTGTATAAGATTGAATAACCTCGGTCCCGTTGAGTTGCGTGGGAAGATGCCGCGTGATTTCCATGCATACTATGAAATACAACAGCTGTTGAATCTGTTGCGCAGGAATGGTCTAACGTTTGGTTGCTAGAAAAATGCTAAAATAAAATAATAGCAGCGCGCATAGCATTAAACATTTCCTCTCTTTGGTAAAGTCGAGCTTGTTACGAGTTATAAATGCCTGTAATTTACTAGCTTTCATTTTTCTTCTTGGAACGTACACTGAATGTGCAAGTCTTTGAAGCGGGCACTAGCGTCCACGTTCCGGCGGAGAGTGAAGATGTCGGCGCCGGAGAGCGGAGCCGTGTGGGACGAGGCGGAGGTGAGCGGCGCGGGCGGCGCAGGCGGCGCGGGCGACGTCTCCCCTCGCCCCCTCGCCGCTGACCCTGCTCCCCCCTTCCCTATCCCTCTCCTGCCGCCCTCCCGGCCCCGCAGGTCATGGGGCCTCGCGGGAGGCGAGCGATGCGACTGCGGCCTGGCGTGACTAGGCATCGCCTAGACTAGAGTCGCGAATTTCAATACTTGATTCATAACTAATGAACGAATAACTCGCTAATTAGTAAGTAATTAGCCAAGCTACGCATTGCTAGCATTAGGCGTTCAACGGAGCCCGAGCCCCAGATTCTCCGCTATTGCGGTGTTTGGGCGACCCAGGCTCGTTCGTCCGAGTCATTCACCCGGGAAAGCCTCGCCCAGTCGCGTGGCAGATTTCCAGGAGTGTGCTGCTACATGGCTGGCCATGGATTTGCTGAATGAGTGGCGTGTGTAAGGAAGCCGGATAATCCAGAGAGTCCTTCCGAGTGTTGGAAGGGGGTAATACACGCAAAGCGCCGTACAGGTTGATTCAATAATCCCTTGCTGTCGTGTTATCTCCTTGTCAAGTCACGCCAAGTGGTTTCGGGCAGTTTCCCATCCAAGTCCTGTAACAACGTAGGTTTAACTATGTTTGGCTTATTTGCGGCTAGATGGGGCGTGTGCAGGTTTGTATCGTCGGGGAGTTGATGGTGGTGTGAGTGACAATTGGGCAATCATACACTGATGTCGACTGGTGATGGTGGTTATTTGGGTAATAATGGTGGTGGCGATCGTGACGTTTAATGATGCTTATGATATAGTGATGGCGATGATGGTAATGCAATATTGTAGCGAAGGTGGGGGTAGTTATATGCTGGTGGTCGTCGTGATCATAGTGCTAGTGATATGGTTATATGTATGTTGAACTTCTTTCGCACCCTACGTAGTTAACCGTGCTATTTGGAGGTGCGGGGGAAGGACAACAAACTTAGCGCAAAAAGCAGTTGTAACGAAATGAGTTTTCAATCTGGATATAAAGTGCAATGCTCCGGTGGCTTGCTAATATCGGAAGAAAGTGTTCCAAGCGGCCCCAGAAGCGCATCTGAAAGCACGCGAAACAGTGATCGTCTTAAAATTTTGACTTAACTTTCGTGACTGCAGGAATTAATATTCTTTGGTTCTTTCGGTAAAGTCACGTAGATAGAAAAATAATAATAAAAAAATAAAGTGAATAAAAACAAAAAAATACTAATGTAGACTAGCATGGTTATTAAGTTTGGTGAGTGTACAGGCAGTCTATAATGTAGACTGTAGCAATGGTTATTAACCTCGTTGAGCGTACTGGCAGTCTATAATGTAGACTGTAGCCTGGTTCTGAACCTTGGTGAGCGTACTGGCAGTCTATAATGCAGACTGTAGCCTGGTTCTTAACCTGAGTGAGTGCACTGGCAGTCTATAATGTAGACTTATTCTGGTTCTTTCAGTAATAAAATAAAAAGAATTAGGCAGATTTGAAACACGGTAGGACCAACACTTCTGCCGTGGCTGATCATTATTAATGCAGCTGGCTCACACGAAATAGATTTCTCTAAGACGATGGTACTTTGCAAGCCTGCGTGCTAGCAACAAAGATTCGTTCATGAAGCCATCCATATATACAGACACAATTTTAACCGAGAGGGTGGTTATAAGCCCTGCAATCATTGGAAAGATGTCATCAACCACTTTGGGTCATGACTTGATTTGTGTTTTCTTGTCAACTTCCACCGTCAGCAGTGTGGGTGTGTGGAGCGAGGTGCAATGCTTTCATTGGTGTAGATCTATTTCCAGTGTCGGGGTTTTCTCCTACATTAACATTAGCTGTCCCGTCCATGCTGTTGACACACTTAGGCTACGTCCATCTCTAAACCTTTATAAACAGTTTGCCTTTAGAGGCGAACTCCCCTTTTCCTGATGACGACCGCTTGTGTTGCAAACGAAACGCCGTGGTTTTAGTTTTGTATATGTAGTTTTATTTTAATTTTTATTTTTATTACTGAAAGAACCAGAATAAGTCTACATTATAGACTGCCAGTGCGCTCATTCAGGTTAAGAACCAGGCTACAGCCTACAATATAGACTGACAGTACACTCACTCAGTTTAATAACCATTGCTCTGTCTACATTATAGACTGCCAATAAGCTCACCGGCTTAAAAACCAGGCTACAGTCTAGATTATAGACTGACAGTACACTCATTAAGAACCAGGCTACAGTCTACATTAGTCGTTTAAAAATGTTTTAGAATAATTTTTATTCACTTTATTTTGTATTATTATTTTTCTATCTACATGACTACTGAAATAACCAATAATAAGTGATTGTCTTCGAGGGTTAGCCAAATGCTGCTTCGAGTATGACCGGAGTTTTTCTGATGGTTTAATGCTCCTGGTTTTGATATGTTAATTGCGATCATAGTCATTCGGCGGTAGTTGAGTGATGTAGTAATGGTAAAGGGATGTGGTTATGGTTTTATGTATGTACAGTGAGGGAAAAAGTATTTGATCCCCTGCTGATTTTGTACGTTTGCCCACTGACAAAGAAATTATCAGTCTATAATTTTAATGATAGGTTTATTTGAACAGTGAGAGACAGAATAACAACAAAAATCCAGAAAAACGCAAGTCAAAAATGTTATAAATTGATTTGCATTTTAATGAGGGAAATAAGTATTTGACCCCTCTGCAAAACATGACTTAGTACTTGGTGGCAAAACCCTTGTTGGCAATCACAGAGGTCAGACGTTTCTTGTAGTTGGCCACCAGGTTTGCACACATCTCAGGAGGGATTTTGTCCCACTCCTCTTTGCAGGTCTTCTCCAAGTCATTAAAGTTTCGAGGCTGACGTTTGGCAACTCGAACCTTCAGCTCCCTCCACAGATTTTCTATGGGATTAATGTCTAGAGACTGGCTAGGCCACTCCAGGACCTTAATGTACTTCTTCTTGAGCCACTCCTTTGTTGCCTTGGCCGTGTGTTTTGGGTCATTGTCATGCTGGAATACCCATCCACGACCCATTTTCAATGCCCTGGCTAAGGGAAGGAGGTTCTCACCCAAGATTTGACGGTACATTGGCCCATCCATCGTCCCTTTGATGCGGTGAAGTTGTCCTGTCCCCTTAGCAGAAACCCACCCCCAAAGCATAATGTTTCCACCTCCATGTTTGACAGTGGGGATGGTGTTCTTGGGGTCATAGGCAGCATTCCTCCTCCTCCAAACACGGCGAGTTGAGTTGATGCCAAAGAGCTCCATTTTGGTCTCATCTGACCACAACACTGTCACCCAGTTGTCCTCTGAATCATTCAGATGTTCATTGGCAAACTTCAGACGGGCATGTATATGTGCTTTCTTGAGCAGGGGGGGGGGACCTTGCGGGCGCTGCAGGATTTCAGTCCTTCACGGCGTAGTGTGTTACCAATTGTTTTCTTGGTGACTGTGGTCTCAGCTGCCTTGAGATCATTGACAAGATCCTTCCATGTAGTTCTGGGCTGATTCCTCACCGTTCTCATGATCATTGCAACTCCACGAGGTGAGATCTTGCATGGAGCCCCAGCCCGAGGGAGATTGACAGTTCTTTTGTGTTTCTTCCATTTGCGAATAATCACACCAAATGTTGTCACCTTCTCACCAAGCTGCTTGGCAATGGTCTTGTAGCCCATTCCAGCCTTGTGTAGGTCTACAATCTTGTCCCTGACATCCTTGGAGAGCTCTTTTGTCTTGGCCATGGTGGAGAGTTTGGAATCTGATTGATTGATTGCTTCTGTGGACAGGTGTCTTTTATACAGGTAACAAGCTGAGATTAGGAGCACTCCCTTTAAGAGTGTGCTCCTATTCTCAGCTTGTTACCTGTATAAAAGACACCTGGGAGCCAGAAATCTTTCTGAATCAGAAGGGGTCAAATACTTATTTCCCTCATTAAAATGCAAATCAATTTACAACATTTTTGACATGCGTGTTTCTGGATTTTTTTGTTGTTATTCTGTCTCTCACTGTTCAAATAAACCTACCATTAAAATTATAGACTGATAATTTCTTTATCAGTGGGCAAACGTACAAAATCAGCAGGGGATCAAATACTTTTTTCCCTAACTGTATATTGAACTTCTTTCGCACCATATATAACCAACCGTGTTAATCAGAGGTTTGTGCTGCAGGATGGCATTGCTGAGGAGATTCTCAAGATGGGCACGGAGGAAATCATACAGCGTACACGTCTCCTGGACAATGAGATAAAGGTTTTCATCGCACACAGAAAACCCCAAATAATATTAACCCTCCAGTCTACCTTCCACAAAAAAAAAAACATTCGGCAAATTATCTTAGAATTTAATTGTAAATACGAAGATTCACATTCCATGCATATGATCAGTGGCATAGCAGGGTTGTCATGGGCCCCTTTGCAAGGAATACAATGTGGCCCACTTTCCAATTTAATTGACTCTTTGTAGTGGTGTCTGGGCCACTCCAGCCCATTGGCCCCAGTGCAGTTTAAATGACTACACACTCAATAGTATAGCTACTGGGTGTGATGATGTGGCTTGATTATATAAACTGCAGTCTGATTTCTGATATCTTCACAACTGACCACTTATCCTGAACTTGGTCCTGTAATTGTGGTTTTGAAATAGCTTTTTTATTCATTCGCAACTCTGGCCATGTGGCAGATAATGAAGAGTGAGACGATGAGAATTAACCACGAGCTCACAGCCATGAAGGAGAAGATCAAGGAGAATACAGAGAAGATCAAGGTGAACAAGACGCTGCCGTACCTGGTCTCCAATGTTATTGAGGTCAGTCACTGCTCATCTGTGCTGTTACGCAAGCCTTGCCATTGCCATGACCCCAACATAAGCAGCATCTGATAGCGATGTGGGTGTACAGTCGCATGTGTGTTTTTATGATTATCGTTGTGTAGTGGTTAGTACACTGCAAAAAACCCAGCGACCTGAGTTTGATTCCTGGCCACGGCTAAAATCAGTGGTGAGTGATATCTCAACTGATCTTGGGACTGCTATAAATGAGTACCTGGTGCGATGTGTACAACATCAGCACTGCGGAAACACATTGTGGCCAGGTGTCGTGCCGGCCCACACAGGCAGTCCCCGGGTTACGGAAGGGTTAGGTTCCCGAGAAATATCCGTAACCCGAATCTTCTGTATGTCGGAAACTGAACAATTTCCCCCCAAAATCAAGATAAAATCCCATATCTGGAAATAGTTGTACCTCCCCTCCCGTTATCTCTTAAGTACCTTATCACGCTGTCTGTTTTCTGTCGCTGCCTGTATCGTATCGCTGTACATACACTCTGCACTTCCTATGATTCGTTCATTTGATAGAATATCTACCCTAAGACTACTGTGTCCAATTGTTTATGAATACCATGAAGTATAGAACACAAAAAAATACATCATGCTACAAAAGGAAAAGAGACGATGTGGCGGGTACAATTTACTAACGGTAACAATGTAACAGCGTGACTCAGAGTGCTATACAGTACACCACCGCCTTGGGGAATATGCGGCCCCGTGTTATGCCTCCGCTGTATTCATCCGCAACCTCACCGCACTGCACTATTTGCGCTTGCGTAACTAATGCCAACATTTCCACATTAAGTATTTACATTTTTTACATTATTTATTGGGAGCATAAAGTTGGATTTCCCTAAGTCGGGTCTTCCGTAACCCGGGGACTGCTTGTACTTAAAAGGGGTGTTAAAGCAAGTCAATATATCGGTGTGTGAATGCGAGATCACAAGATATGTTTTAATCTTACAATAAAAACGTCAACAGACTCGGGCAGGTCATACCAGAGCCTAGAGAATTATCTGGGCGAATGCTTTGCCGCCTGCAATATTTTGACAGTGCCATTACAGTCACTTTATGTTTACGTTACATTTATGATGTGTGTCTGTGGTGAGCAGCTGCTGGATGTAGACCCCACAGAGCAGGAGGAGGACGGTGCCAATGTGGACTTGGACTCTCAACGCAAGGGCAAGTGCGCCGTCATCAAGACTTCCACTCGCCAGGTACCAGACGCACAGTGATACAAAGATGGTCGTGGGGTGGCCCTTTCCCCAATGACCTCTTCTAATTGCGTCATGTCCCCCCATTGTTGACATCCTCAGGGTCAAGTATGTAGCGAATATGTCATGTTGATGATGGTGCTAATGTGTGCTGATTGTCTGTGAGCACAGACGTACTTTCTGCCTGTCATCGGACTGGTTGATGCCGAGAAGTTGAAGCCTGGAGACCTTGTGGTAAGTTAGCGGTGATGCGCTCATGCTCCTTGCGTCATGTTGGGTGGCCTCGCGTTCAGAGCACCCTGCTAGTGGGGCAGCGTAAGACCTTTGAGTCATGAGCCTGCACGCTCACAGCCACCTCTACTCTGTCCCCCTCACAGGGAGTGAACAAGGACTCCTACCTGATCCTGGAGACCCTCCCCACAGAGTACGACTCTCGCGTCAAGGCCATGGAGGTGGACGAGCGACCGACGGAGCAGTACAGTGATGTCGGCGGTCTGGACAAGCAGATTCAAGAGGTGTGGGGTGAATGGTGGATCACACAGTGCTCCTGCTTTTACACTGATTTCCCCCCCCCCCACCACCACCAGTGTTGCCATGATAATATTTTGTAAAAAGGACTAGCAAGGTATCTTCTTACTCTGGGGTAAAGACAGATTTGGGAGAAATGCTAGGCATGTTTTAAAGAGCTTATAACAGTTTACTGTGTGGAACACTTGGTAAGTTGTCTGGTGATGTATAAATGACTTTAGGAGGTCTATCTAGCGACGTCTTGTGATGAGTTAGCAATACTGCCCACCACCCTGATAATAGAACTACTACAACTGTTTTTGCCTACGACCAGTCCAGTTTTTTACATTTATTTTTTATTTTCTTAGGTATAATTATCAGGCCAGGTTGCTCAATGGGAGAGTGAATGGTTTGTAGTTGAAAGGTTGTGAGTTCTAATCCCTCTGCTTCAATAAAATAAGTACCACTTTGTGGGGAACTTAAAAGGTGGCTGTCACAACGATAGACTCATCCCTACCATAAGAACATGGAATGTTCACCAATAGTTTGGGACTAAACTGAGGGTGTGCACCGCATCAATTTGAGCATAAAATCACTTGAATTGTTATAAATGTGTTGTTTGGTGTGAGGCCTGAATGAATCCTAAGGATTGCTTTCGGGTATACAGCATTGCTCTCTTACAGTTAAACCCTGGGAAGCACGAGGTGAATGGGGGAAGTGCGATTGGTCAGTAACGATACTGAATAGTGGAGTTTTTGCTGTGATGTTTCTGTCAGTTGGTGGAGGCCATTGTGCTGCCCATGACGCACAAGGAGCGGTTTGAGAACCTGGGCATCCAACCCCCCAAGGGAGTGCTCATGTATGGGCCCCCCGGCACTGGCAAGACTCTTTTGGCCCGCGCCTGTGCTGCTCAGACTAAGGTACAAGCACCCAACACGTGCTGATATGCACGCACGGCGTGCATACGCGTGGTCTTCACGGGCCATGCTGGCCGCAGTGGGAGCCCACACTTGCGAGTGTGAGTTTCCTAAACTCCGTACATGTACATGCCGCAGGCCACATTCCTGAAGCTGGCCGGCCCACAGCTGGTGCAGATGTTCATTGGCGATGGCGCCAAGCTGGTGCGAGATGCCTTTGCGCTGGCCAAGGAGAAGGCTCCAACCATCATCTTCATCGACGAGCTTGATGCCATTGGAACGAAGAGGTGCCCTGCCCCATCCCTCTCATCCCAGCAGCGGTGGAGCTTCGAGCTGTTTTCTTAAACTGCTGCGTTGGCGACTGCTCTTGAGTGACAATGGAAGGTCAGGTTGCCATTGTGCTGCTGTGGTGTGGGTGGATCGCAGGTTTGACAGCGAGAAGGCTGGGGACCGTGAGGTCCAGCGCACGATGCTGGAACTGCTCAATCAGCTGGATGGCTTCCAGCCAAACACGCAAGTCAAGGTGCGCAGTCTTACAGGCAACACGGGATCCTCGTATATAGACGCTCGCTAACTGTACAGCTATAGGAGGATCCTTGTATATTTTTGCACGTGATGTCTTTGTGCTTGTGTCTTCCAGGTGATTGCGGCGACGAACCGCGTGGACATTCTGGACCCTGCTCTGCTCCGATCAGGACGGCTCGACCGCAAGATCGAGTTCCCGATGCCCAACGAGGAGGCGCGGGCCCGCATCATGCAGATCCACTCCCGCAAGATGAATGTTAGGTAGAGGAGGCACGGCTCTCTGCGACGGTGATGCTACCCAGCGGTAGCGCATTCACCACTTGTTGCATAGGTTCGGAATTCGAATCCAGCAGGCCCCCCTTGTTAATACTGTTAATACTGTGGGTGTCATCTTCATCACCCACAGCATTATATTCAGCATCATCCTACACACTGGCCACCATGGGTAATACTCCAGTTGTGTTAACCATAAAATACTGCACGCCGTCTGCTTTAGTGTGAATATCAAAGATCCCGTGACGTCATTTAAATATTCTTGGTTCAAGAATATGAATCCTTGCAGTCACGAAAACTTTAAATCAAAAGTAATTTAAATAATTAGCCATTTTGTGTCGGAATCACAGTCCAGACTTTTTACATTTGATAATGTACCCATAAAGTTCTCAATTGTGATTACATATGAAGCATTTGGCGGGACCCCGGGGTCCCATCACTGCCCCGGGGTGGGAAAAACCGCATAGCGACACGAGTCTTGCCTTACTGACAACAAAACTAGTGTCAATCGATTGGCCTCGTCGAGAGCTACTCGGGGCACTAAGTTTCGTAAAAAGTTGAAAAATTACATAAACACGTTAAATTCACTGCGGGGGCGGGCTCGTCTTGGCAAAGAAGCTGAGGATCGACGGCTGACCGGAGGGTGTTGTCGCCGTGCGCGACTGCGGTGGACGCCCGGACGTGCGTTTGGCCGGTGGGGTGGCGCCCATCGTGTTGAACGCCGCCTGCTGGCGCCAACAAGCGCCAGCAGGCGGTGTCCTTGCGGAATCACAAGTGGGCGGACTGAAAAATAATAATGATTGACCTGATTTTTGCGGGACGCCAGGGTCCCTCCAAATGATTCATATGGTAATATTGTCCCTCCTGCGAAGCTACTGCTAAGTGCGTCAAACATAGCACCTGTCTTTGTGATAGCGTTGCACTATAAGAATGGTAAATATCAAATGTACAAGTGATTTTATTGATCATGATTTAGTGGTCGGGTATCATGACACATCCCCGCATTGCCCTGCTGGAAGGTCAAGTCCGTGGTTCCTAACGCTTGTGTTCCTGTTCTGTAGCCCCGATGTAAACTTTGAGGAGCTGGCACGGTGCACAGACGACTTCAATGGAGCACAGTGCAAGGCCGTGTGTGTGGAGGCAGTGAGTTCCTCACCCACACTACAGAGGCTCTGTTATGCCATACATCAGTGGTTCGAAACCGCTCTGGACTTGAGGATCGCTGTCAACGCCCAAACATTTTGGCAGACTACCATGCACTAAAAATATGGTGATTTGTGAAAACTTTTACATCTGCAAGGTCCGCAGATTACTTCCCATGACTTTGCGAACCACCAATGTTATTCATTGTGTGTATTTGGCATGTGTATTGTGTGCCGTGTGGGATTCTCACATTGGCCGTATCGTGTGGCAGGGCATGATTGCGCTCCGCCGTGGAGCCACAGAGCTCACACATGAGGACTACATGGACGGAATCTTGGAGGTGCAGGCCAAGAAGAAGGCCAACCTGCAGTACTACGCCTAGACCCCACGGCCCCTCTGTGGCACATGCAGGCTGGCCGGTGGCGCGTGTGTTTGTCCATGGTATGAATCGGTGTTTATTGATGTTTCTTTCTCAGCCTTAAGACTTAGTTCAGTGGCTCCTAATCGTTTCAGTATGGACGCCCCCCCCAATTACGAATGCCACAATATACATATATTGCATGTCCACGCCTGTAGTTGATTGGTGATATTAAGGCATTTATGAAGGCATTTTTTAATGTTGTGTACGCGTTTGTTTTGTCGCCGCATGCGGCTTACGTTCCTTGCGCACATTAAACATTTCTTTGCGTAGTGGGGGGGGACTGGCCTCCGTTGAGTAGATCAGCCACGTGGGCTGTGTTGGGTGTGCTGACACTGTGCCATTAGGTGAGTAAGGAGGGTGGGGGTAGGTATGTATTAACAACAGTGGCAAAGCTGGAAATATGGATGGGTAGAGTTCTGGGTTAAGGTAGCAAACCACCCCCACCCTTTGTGTAAATCGCACAGCCCAAGCAAAACTGGCTGACACTGGGTGAGTGAGTGAGCGGGGCATCCATGCGGCAGTCGGGTCACGAGTTATGGGTAGACTTAGTCAAAGTGCTCTTTCGTTGGGAGAGATGTAATAGCGACTGATTTGAGCAATTGTGGTGACGTTTCATTTTTGTAATAAAATGAAAGATGTTCTCTGCTGAAATTGCGTTTGTCCATCAACAACAAAGTAGTCCACTTCGAATCTGGGTTTGTCATGGGTTTTTTTTTGCACTGTAATTCAGATGTTTATTTCTATTGACCATGTTTCACAGGTACAAGTTTGTAGGAAAAAAACATTGTGTTTACACCTCGTGACTTTTTAAAACTTGTTGCATTGGCTTTATCTGCAGCTGTATATTTGTTTAATTCTTGACAGGAATCAGTACACAATAGCCACCATTGCCTACTGCTGCCTTATACATTGGGGGAATTTGTGGACAATCCCTCCCTGATCACTGAGGGACAGTTTGGCACTGCCCATGGGTGACAATAAAACAGCTCTAACACTTCTGTACTTAGGAGAAACTAATAATATGGAAAGGGGTAATTGTACAAAAAACGTGCTTTCTAGAAATAATAAATTGTGACCTAGAGATATGTGCTTTTATTTCCACGTTAATAGTGCTGAAGTTCCTCCCCCCAAGCCCGTACGCTTATTCCTTTCTCTGTCCAAAATAATGTTTTTAACTATGCCTAACAAAGCATGTCGCTACAGCCTGCTCAATGTAGTTCTGCTTATTAAACCCATATTGTGATGTGTACAGCAGCGCCACGCAGTGGACACATTAGACATCGACAGCTTGTAGAATAACGGTTGGGTAACCATGGCATCGGTAGAGTAGCATGGTTGGCATGGACACTGGCACAAGAAATGAAACGGTTGAGCCCGGGTGTGGTTCCATCGCCTTGCACACTCGCTAGCCATGGAGCTGCATAACGTGACCTTTAGAGGGGCACGCACGATCATTCTGTGTTCTGTGGGGACCAGCGTATACCCCATCGCCCTCGCTGGGCAGGTGTGGCGCGACGTCCGCCCCCTCCACTCCCTCCTCCACCGCGTCGATCGGCTCCCGCCGGGCATCCGCCGACCGGGTGATCGCCCCCCCCCGCGCTAACGTCCTCTCTGAGGGACATAGCTAAATTGGTGGCTCACCATCGCCCGGAGTTATTCCACATACGCCCGCGTACACACTACTAATGCGAACGCAGCGGCGCGAACGCGCGCACCTGCAGGCGATTATATCAACGAGCGCTCGTGCTGCAGCTCTGCCCTCTCGCCGCGCGTCCGCCCATGCAGCCGCTCCACACACAAATCACACACTGGGCCGAGGCTCTCTGCTAACTTTTATTCACGGCGCAAACTCTGCACTGCCTGGAGGGAGTATTCTGCGAGCAGAGCCTAGTCTACTTCTATCCAAGTCCCCAAACACTCACGCCCTATCATGTACCTCGCAGCTGTACTCACGGCGTCGCACGGACGCTGTGAGAGTCGGAGGGAGGATGACGAAAAAACCTTGCCTATCACTGCCTTGTACCAGCACTCGCTGGCATCACACGGATGCGGCGAGCGGCTCGAGGAGGCAGGACGGCAGGGTGGTCTTGGCGAACAAGCTCTTGAAGATGAAATTTGCCTGAACGGTTTTTTTCTTGACTTCAAAGTGACTGCAGGAATTCATACTCTTTGGGTCTTTTGGTAAAGTCACGTAGATAGAAAAAAAGTATGAACGGTTTTTGGCTCCCCTTTTTATGCCCTTGACTTCAAACAAAATCCAGGATTACGTTATCCCGCGCGGCCAATTACAATTGTGCGCCTACCTGTGCTTCGTTTTTTTTGCCTTACATGGAGCGTTTTGCCAGTTACTTCTCGATTTATTGTCTACGCACCTGTACTCATTAATTTCTGACTCAATCTGTTTAATCTGGACGGGTGTCCGGCTGGCGAATGCACACTCTGCTAGTGTTTATGTAGTTTATTGTAAAAATTCGGCCACAGTCCCTGTGATCGCTGTTACGTTGCAATTATGGCTTTATTTTTTGGTGATTTGGAAAAGTTTTTTGGTTTGGACATGTTTGTTTTGTTGTAGTACGGAGTTAGACTGATGGCCTTAATCTAAGTTGTCTTGTTGTTGTTGTTTGACTTGCATCCCACTGGGAGTTTTTGCACACAACGTTGGTGGTGTACGGTGCCTTTTTCAGGAATATTTTTGCTGTTTAGTTTTTCCCATGGATTTTCTATTTTGCACAAAGTCACACAAAGTCACTTTAAGATGTTTTCTTGTTCGTGTTTTTTAATTTTTTTTTAGTTGCGGTTGCACCCGATTCAAGAGCCGAATGGCTCACAGGGCTCTACACCAAATAAAATAAACTGAAACTGAAAGTGTGTGCTTGTCTCCGGGGGTTGTGGCGCCGCGATCCCATTACCTCATTGTCTGCTCTGCTCGCTTAATATTTCACCCCAGCCCCTCCCGATGTCGTGCATGAATCATTGCAGCTGGCCCGGTGAACCTTTTTGCGCCTATACAATTTTAAGCCAATTTAGGGGCACCGCAGTGTGATCTGTCCTGCGAGGCTCGGCCAATCTCCTGGCACCGGGAAACTGTGGGACTTCCCCTCTAGGGACCCTTGGATTAAAACCCGATGTGCCAGGCAATCTCCCGCCAGGACACTACGTGTGTGCTCATCGTGAGGGCCATGGGGGAGTCGCGGCGCTTGCAGAGTTGCTCCGCGGCCGTGGCACCATAGTTCTCAGCCTCCGGCTGCACATGTCGCTGTGACAAGACAAAGGAGTGAACATGGCCAAGAGACAAGGCCACGGAGGATATGTAGTGACAATATGTCATGTATGTATGTTGCACTTATTTCGCACCGTACATAGCCAACTATGCTAATCGGAGGTGTGGAGGAAGTACAACAAACCAAACGCAAAGAGCATTTCTAAAGAATCGTGTTTCCATAAATGATAAAATATATAAAACAATAAAAATGTTCACGTTTCGACCATAACACAAACGGTCATCAGGTGATGACCGTTTGTGTTATGGTCGAAACGTGAGAATTTTTATTGTTATATATATTTTATTATTTTATTGTTTCCCTTCAACGTGACTTTACCGAAAGAACTAAGAATATGAATGACTGCAGTCACGAAATCTTTAAATCAAAATTTTATCGTGTTTCCAGTTTAGATTAAAAAAAAACTATGTAGTCGTGTGCAGGAGGGAGGTGGAGTAAGGGCATCACAATACGCTGGGGGATGGAGGCGATGTGGAGAGGCCTTCATCATCCAGCAGCATTTCTGAGGCCTTAAAAAGTTTGCATAGCAGGGCATTTTCATCATCACCATCATCTCGCCGTAACCTAACCATAACCACCAGGGTCAGCAGGGTAGCGCAGTGCATCACAGAAATAGCAGTTGGGTTCGCTTCCGGACTCGGGAGCCTTTTTGTGTGGAGTTTGTATGTTTCCCCCCGTTCTGCATACATATCCGGATTCTCCGATATATGACAGCCAAAATATCCCAGGACTTAACAATTACCCGAAATGTACTTAATTTTATCACACGGTGACCGAACCACCATCTTACTAATTGCACATAGCAACATCACCCCCAACTGCTGACACTTGGCAGGGCCCTCGAGACTCAGCAACGCTTTGCTGGATAAGTAAGCTTTATAACAACAATCACGATTATGATGATCATCATCTAATTGCGGTGACCTTTTCATCATCTCGCTGTGACCTTTCCATCAGCTGTGCGCACGTGTCCGAGGGGGGCGGGGTGTGCGTGACGTCATTGCGTGGCCCCCGGAAGTGCCGCACGTGACGCGCCCATAAGACATGGCGACCGAGCAGTGAGAGGTCCCGAACGGAGCGCGCAAAGTTCAGCATCGCCCTTGCGTGGCCCAGTGTTGGCTCTCGGTGACACCGAACGACACCTCACGGCACCGACGAAATTTTCCCGCCGTCACTTCGAGCGTCAATAGCAAGAAGCGGACTCGATTTGTTGGTGAGTTTTTAGCTCTGGCCTCGCAGCCAAGGCCTAGCCATTGCCCGGATTCTCCGCAGGAAGCCTGCGCGTAGGCCTCCCGCGGGGGCCGCGCTCCGTAGCTACGGCAGGGGAATGCGAGGACGAGATTCCTCCGTCCCCTCTGCCCCCGCCGCCGTGTTTATCTGCGGGTGTCGCGCTACCGCCGCCGCCGTGAACGCATGCGGACGTGTGGCGATGAGCGCAGGCCCGAGATATCGCAACGGCCGGGCGGCATTGTAAACACGGTGGGGTGGGGAAGGGGGCATTCGGCGGCTGTCGGGTCGTGATGCCATTATTGCGGAATCCAGACGTGGGGCCTTGCCGCCCGGAGAACCCTCTGCTGCTCCCGAGGCAACGAGTCGTATCCTTGGTCTTATTTTCCATTGTCTCACTTCCGGACCCCTATTGCCTCGATCACCTCTTCTTGTGCTCCTCCGTCCCCTTGCTCCCCTCGCTGTCCTCTCTCTCTGCCGGCTGTGGCATGGGGTTGGCACGACCCGGTCACCCGGGTTCGTGCGCAGGGTTGCGCCTGCCTTGCCATCCTTCATCGTGGGTTGTGCTGTTGATATCTTATTGTGTGTAACCGCGCTGTTCGAATGATTCCTCTGCCCATGAAACCCGATATGTATAGCTTGCATTGTCTCGACTTCGCTCCGGCCCTGTCTCAACATATGTGCGAGTCGCCCCCAAATCTTCTTTCGTAAATAAAATTGCAGTCCCGAGCACTGCACTGATCAGCTTCTTGCTGTGAACCTCGATTGTTGGCAGTACTGTAATCAATATGGAACGGATCTATGCGTTGGCACGAGCTCATTGTAACGACGACCAACTGATTGTGTCAGGTGTTGTCTTTGTTTAGACTGCTCACGTCTGTCGGAAGGAGTGGTTCATCTACACTTCTCGTGTAGAAACAGCAAGTGACCTTTCTCACCCTCTCAATGGGTTCCTGTTGTGACTCTCATCCGTTTAGCTTCGCACAAGCAGCCATCACCACCACCGCCGTCTCTGTTGGAGAAGCCTGAAAATCAGAATGTCTGCGAGTCCCGTGAGCGGCGAGGAGCCCAGCGAGTGCCCCCTGTGCATGGAGCCGCTCGAAATTGACGATGTGCACTTCTTCCCCTGCACATGCGGATACC